CCCATTTATTTCACTCCAATAGTAACAAACACATACAGCACAAAGTAAAATCCTAATAGGACAGATCAGATCTTAGTTTTTAACCCTGAGTTTGTCTCAACTCTGCCCATTGCCAGGCAGGGTGAGCTCATTCACATTGGCTTTGTCATCTGATAATTCCTGAAACCGTTGTGAGGGCTGAACATGGCGTAGCGTGGAATTGGCTGTTAATGTTCATCCATTTAAGATACCCACAATAAAACCAGACAGGGCAGCACTCACCTTTAATCCCAGCGGATCTCTGTAAGTTCCAGGACAGCCAGGGCTACACAAAGAAACCCTGCCTCAAAAAAACAAACAAAACAAGATACACATAATACACTAATGTAGCTTGTGGGTGTTCATTGCCAAGTTAGTTGGAAGCCAAGCCTGTGTTCTTGTTTAAAATGACAAGCCTTGAGGTTCCAGATGAAAATGGTCTAATTTTGGCTCATTTCCTCCACAATCTGGTGAGGAGGGACTGGTGGCCACAGTGTGCTCTGCCCGTCTCTCGTGTTGGGAATGGCAGTTTCGGGGCTCATGGAATCATTTTGTTTCGTGTACTCTGACTTGCTGTTTAAGGCAGCTATCGTTGCTGATCCACTGCCTTGTAGATGCACAGGACTAGGCAAGATGGATGTTTTCCAGCCCTGCATCTATCAGAGGGCCACAATTACAGTAATTATGGCTCAGATGTTCTAGAGGACAGGCTGGTATATATTGTTGGGGTGAGAAGGCAATTTGCTAATTGAAACAGGAAATTAAATTTATTCTTACAGATGAAGCTCTTTTGGAGATTTAAATTGTCTTTGTTTTTATTTTTTTATTTTATTTTTTTTTAGCATAGAGAAGGCCCTTGTCCTGATCCTAGCATCTTGAAGGAAGGGAGGGAGAGAGGAAGGAGGGAGGAAGGGAAAGAGAGAAGGAAGAAGGGAAGGAGTGTTCTTAGGGTGAGAGGATTGTTTTTCTTCTTAGTTATTTCTTTGTTAATTCTAAAGTCCTTCAGGAGCACAGACTGAAATGCTTCATATCTTATTCTTTTTTTTTTTTTTTTGAGACTCTATCAATATGTAGCCCTGGCTGTCCTTGAAGGCAGACACCCCCCACCCCTGCACAGCAGGAACTCCCTCCCAGACACCAGGCCTCACCCCCCACCCCCCATTAAGCACAAACCACACCCAAATACCCAATATATTCACAGAGATCCTTTATTAAGTGAGGAAGAAAAAAGTGGCTGCTTTCTGACTCTGGCAGGGGGAAGTTCTAGGAAGAGAAAAGGCGTGTGTATGCTGTGTGCTAGAATGGGCTGGGTGTGGTGGTGAAGGAGACGGGGTATGAGGAGAAGGAGGCAGTGGTATTTGTCCTGTAAGGACAAAGGATCTCCTGGATAAAGAGGAGACAGATGTGGTCCTTAGGCACATGGCAGTTTATAAAGGTAAAAGGGGAAACTCCACCTTAGGATGAGGTGTTTCATTTTCATTGGGCATGTTAATTAGGGCAGCCAAAGGGGACTTTTGATTGCTGGACTTCAATACTTTGATACTGACCTTGGTAGTCAGGAGGAAGAAGTGGACAAATAAGGGACCAGACCTCGGTGGCTGGCTTTAGGAATGTGATCTAATGGTTTGTGGCAAGGCAGAGGGGACGGGGAGAAGGGCAAGGCCTGCATGAGCCATCCACACCAGCCCTCCCTGCCTTGAGTACTTTAAGTCCTGGCACTCACTGTGTAGACCAGCTGGCCTTGAACTCACAGAGATCTCAAGCGCTGGGATCAAAGGCCTGTGCACCACATGACTTTCTTGGAGTAGTTTTCCTTTTTTCTTTCTTTTCTTTTGGTTTTTTTGTTTGTTCGGTTTTTCGAGACAGGGTTTCTCTGTGTCTTTGGAGGCTGTCCTGGAACTTGCTCTTGTAGACCAGGCTGGTCTTGAACTCACAGAGATCTGCCTGCCTCCACCTCCTGAGGAGTAACTTTCAAGAAAGGCATTGTATATAGTGACTGTATACAGAGAGACTGCGTAGACAGATTTGGCTCATTAGGGTGACACCATGAACAAGGCCATGCTGTTATTTCCGATTGCTTACACATCAGCCATGGAATTAAGGCAAGTTCTACCCACCTAAGTTCTTAAACTCTTGATGCTGTGGTATATAGGAATTCTGAGTGAGGGTAGGGGACCCGTATGAGGCAGGAAGTCTGGGGTGGGGTAGGTCTGATTTTGGCTGCCGTGTTGTGGGGAGTAGGAATTCTGTTTCAGGCAAGTACAGAGAGAGAGAGAGAGAGAGAGAGAGAGAGAGAGAGAGAGAGAAAGGAGGGGGGGGGGGACATCTAAAGCATTATACCTCCTGCATCCAAGATTTACCCTCCTCGGCTGTCATCTTCTCTGTGCCCAGACCCATTGTGCTTTGTTCCCTGTGTATGTGCTGGAGGAACCTGAAAATATGCACAAAAGAAAGAAAACACTAGAGAAGATTCCCAAACAGAGACTGAGAGAACCTACCACGGAAGAGCATCCCAGCATCCTCCTCCACTTCTGACAGTAGGGGATGGGAAGGAGGGGAAGGCCTGATTCCCAGCCCAGGGATAAAGCGTGGGGGGCAGGGCAGTCAAAGCAGGCTCCAAATCCATCCTGTGCCATTGTGCTCCCAGGCCCTGCCTCTGTCCTCCTTGTCAGTAAGGCTTGCGTCCCTTGACGGCCTTGAGAGCCAGACTCTCCTAGAAGTAAGCTAGGTGCTGACCACTGCAGCCCTGAGCCCAGCTGTGCCATTCTAGGGGACTTCTCTCCAACGTCATTTGATTATAGTTTGTTTCTTGAATTTACAAATGCAAAATTAATATCCCAAAGACACACTTCACAGGACTGCAGCCCCTGGGCTCACCCTTCTCACTGGCCCTTGTGTGTGCGTGCCGGAACAGGATGTTAGGCACCTTCTATCCCTCTGTCAGATGTCGGCCTTCACTTTTCTGGAAAGTCTCTTACTGGACCTGCACCTTGCTGTTTTTCAGCTACATTGGAAACATTGGAAAAAAATAACAAACGTTCCATGAGGCTTCTCCCCTTTAGTTTTACAGTTTCTAGAGATAAAAAGATTGCCAGTTATATAGTTCATTAAAACTAATTTCTATTCTCTAACCCCTGCTTTTTAAGTTGTTTTGAAACTGATTTACTTACTTTGTCCGTGTGAGTTCGGACATACACATGCCACAGGGCATGCCTAAGTCAGAGCACACCTTCTGAAAGTCCATTCTCTCCTCCAGGGGTGGGATCCAGGAATCAAACTCGGGTTGTGAGGCTCGCACAGCAAGTGCCCATACCTGCTTAGCCGTCTCACTGGCTCTAGTCCTTGCTCATTAAAAACCTAACTGTATGTCTTTGTCTCTCACTTTAAGCAAGGCATCTGTAAAATCATTTTCCATTATTTTATGAAGGAATTCTTTAATGTTTTCTAAAGAAAAAATATAATCTATTTCTACACGTTTGTACTTGTAAAAAAATATTTATGTGTCGAGAGGGGCATGCTTGTGCCACAGCATGTGTGTGAAGGCCAGAGGACAGCGTGAGAGAGTCGGTTCTCTCTTTCCACTATGTGAGTTCCAAGGATCAAACTCAAGTACATCTTCAGGCTTGGTGGCAAGCACTCTTACCCACCGAGCCATCTTGTCAGCCCTGTACTTTGAATTTTAATGTCACTAAATTACTTTAGCTTTCTGAGAATAAGGATATCTGAAATAGGTAGTTCCTATAAAAAGAATAAATTGCTGACCTATTGATTTTTTTTTTAAGATAATGGTTTCTATAGACCCATGTTCAGAGAACCCCAGTAGAAGACTATTTGTCTAGACTCAGTTGCTCCTAATAGCTCTGAATTATAAAAAGAACTAATGGAATATGTAATTATCTTAGATTGCTGCCTAGAACTGGAAATCATATTAAGTACTTTATGCCATTGATCAGATAAATGACATTACAGGCAATCCTAGCTTACAGCCACTGACATCCATCCACAGTGTTGAGCCCACAATGCCCAACCATGTCATCATCTGTAGCATGAAGCAAGCAAGCACCTCCTCCCAGTTGGCTGGGATAGGCAGAGTGAGCAGCTGCTCTCCCTCCTGCCTCTTCAAACTGACCAACCCTCTTCTCCCCACAACCTTCATTTGTACTCTAGAAGCTTTCACACCTAAATGGCAAGCAAGTGCTTTTGGCTTGAAATTAGAGATGGGGTGTAGGAAGGAGAGAAACAGAAGGGCTGCATAACATGGATAGCAGGGGCTGAAGGAACCGGATAGAGTTTTCCCATGAAGCCCCAAACTGTAAATACTTTAGGCTTATGGTCTGTCACGGCTTCCCAGTTTTGTTTTAACCACCACCACCACCCCCACCCCAAATGCAGAATTTGCTCTGTTTCCAATTAAATTTACAGAAACAAGGAATGAAGTAAAGCCAGGAGTGATAGCACTCGGGAAGCTCAGAAAAGATTTCGAGTTCAAGGCCAGCCTGGGCTATAGCAAGTTCTGAGCTGTCTTTTTCT